TTTTGGCAACTGCTCTCCATCTCCTGTCAGACTGGAAGGCATTAGTTTCTCATAAGGAGTGCACAACCTAGATCCACCCAATGTGCAGTTCTCCTGCTCCTATGAGGATCTAAGGTCTGATGATCTGTGGAGCTCAGGCAGTAATGTAAGCAAGGGGGAACAGCTGTAAATACAGATGAAGCTTCATTTGCTGGCCTCAACTCACCTCCTGCAAGTGCCCAGGTCCTAACAGACCATGGGTTGGTACCAGTCTGTGACCTAGGTGGTTTGAGAGCCCTGCCATAGACCAGTGGTTCTCTATATAAGACAGTTCTCCCCCCTCAGCCCTGGTAATATTTGGCAATATCTGGAGACGTTTTTGGTTGTCACAACTGAAAGGTACTAGTAGTATTTTTTGTGTAAAGGCCAGGAATGTAGCTAAATGTTATACAATACACTAAGTAACCCCTTACAACAATTATAGGCCCCAAATATCCATAACGCTGAGATCTGAAAGCTCTGGGTTAGAGAACCATTTGCAAAGTTAGCAGTTAGAAGTGTATAAGATGAATTAGACACAGGAGAAACAAAAATAACAAAGAAAGGAAGCGGCTAGACTGTAGATGAAGGCAGATGTCTGGTATGCAGCTCTGTGAAGGCAAGAGAAGAGGCTTAGGGAAGGACTGATCGGTGAGATAGAGAGAGGTTAGAGAAGCCACTGGGGCTCACTGTTCTGGTCCGGCTCGCTTAGGTAACTCTTTCTACTTTGTTAAGATTGATTAGAACCAAAGCCTGATGTATTTCTGTGCCTTTTGTATAAGGAACTACTTGTCAAGAATTCCAGCCCTAGAAAAGAAGGTGGTCTAGCTATGGGATTTTAGGACACCTGTGGGCTTGCTCCATAGTCTCACTGAACAGAAATGACAAAGTCCTTAGGTGGGGTCCTCTGCTGTCCTGAAAGAATCCTTCTGTATTGTCCCTGCACGGAGAACTCATTTTCTGAACATTGTATCTTTTTTTCAGGTTGTTCTTCCCTCCACATTCTCTATATGACCATAGCTCAGTCACCCAAAGGCAGTATCAGGAAGATAGCCCTTGCATATGTAAACAAACAACTTTTTGAAGTGTGATATTGGAGCTAAAGTGTTCATAAGTGGGGTCTATGGAAGCCCATGGAGGGGTCCAAGCATTGGGGAAACTTAGTACAGAACATGAAACTTTTTGAAAGGGAATATGGACAGTTGCTGTGGGACACCATAAAGCAAAACAACCAGGAGGCTGCTGAGTACAGAAATGAGCCCTGAAAATGGGTAGGAGCAAAGGTCATGCAGGGGTGAATCTGAGGAGCTCCATCTCCTCCAGTTTTTCATACTACACAGTCAGAACCCTATCCATGCAGAGTCAGCCCTACCTTGAGTTCTCTCTGATGGAAGGTGGTAGGTCCTCTCATGCTACAAGGGGAATAAAAAGAGAGAATTTCTACTCTTGTGGCCTGAAATAATACTAATTTTTTGGCTTTGGGACTGCAGGGCTCCATAGTTTACAGATGGCTCTGCACTGTGATCTGAAGAAGGTTGATGAATATGAGAGCTTCTGGAAATATGCTTATGAGGGATGAGGCTACCTCACCCTCCATTCAAGGACACTCAGCTGGAAGGCTGACATCTCTGAGGCCCAAAGCATGGTACAGATATTGATGGAAAATAAAGACTTGGCCCACCATCACCACCACATCTTTGTGAATGGTGACTAAACACTATATGCAGCAGTACCCAGCACCTGGGAGGAATCTGCTGGTGCAGTTAGGTAACTGTCCTTCCAATGGAGTCTTTAAGATTAGCTTCACCCCTGTAGCCATCTGTACCTCCATACCCACCTCTTGATCTGACAAGCCGGAACCCATCACCAAGGCTTAGTTCCTAGAGATCAGTCTGCGGTGACTGAGTCTGAGGTCTGTCAGGGCAGGGATTGGCCTAAAGCTCCAGAAGCAGGTAAGAAAAAGTCCATAACTCCTGCCCAGAATCACAAAAAACTAGAATAGGAGCCTCAATGCCATTTTGGTTTCTAGTCTGAACACTGACCAGAGGATTGAAATTCGTGTTTCAAATTGGAAGAGACACGTGCTTCCTACCAGAAATTCAGCATGGGAACCCAAATTACTATTGTTTTCCATTAATAAGGTAGTGAGTCAGAACTAGGTAAATTTTAGAATTTAATGCAGTATCTCTTTACCTAAAATAAATTATAGTTCTCTTTCTCTACCCTACACTTAGTAGATACGGAGTTAAGTTTTCCTGTTGTGAATCAGGGCTTCCATTCTCACTCATGGTGGTTTTATGTTTTTCCAAATTCCTTCATGAATATTCACTGATCACTCTTTTGTTTTGTTTGGTTTGTTTTGATTTGATTTTTGCATATTGTTCCTTCAGACAATGTTTTAATAACCATAGCTTGGCCTACAAGGTGTGCTCTTCTGTTGTTTGAGTGACCCTAATCAGGACAGCAGGCCAGATAAAGGCTGTGTCAGGCTGAGATCCTTTGTACATCTTTCCTCTGCACCAAGATATTTGGGAAAGACAAAGGAGCCACTTTGGTAATGCCTGTCACACTGAGCACGGAGGCCTGAATGATATCCTCATTGTCAAGTGGGATAAGGACCTGGGTGCCAGGGTTAGTTGTGCAAGTGATTCTGCTATAGCCACCTGAGTAGGGGATTAAGGAAAAGTTTCTGGAATCTAACATGCTGGTGAGCTGAAGAAAGGAGTCAGAAATGCCGTCCTGATTTACCTGAACATTACTTCTCATTTCAGAGTCCTCATCTGCCTCCATGAAGAGCCCTGCTTGGGTGCTTATTTTAGCAAGCATTTTGGCCACGGCTGTAATTGGGTTTTTTGTAAAAAGCTCTTCTAGTCAGGTAGGAATGATGGGAAAGGCACGGTGGGGCCTCTTCTCTACTGTAATCAGTTTCTACAGTCCCAGATCAGAGCACAATCTCCAGTATCCAGTTTTGGAATGAGAACTCCAGCTGGGCCCTTTGCTGAGTTCAGCAAGGGGGTGTATATAAGACCTGTAATCCTCCAGCCCTAGCCAGCGTTCTTACCAGGAACTACATTGAGAGAAAGGAGAGAATCATGTATTTGCATATTCCTTTTGTCCCCATCTTCCACTACTAATTTACTCTTGCTTGCAGAAAACTTTCTTAAAAGAGTTAAATGAATACTTTTATTGAAAGTGTTTTCAGGCAATGTGTTGGTTTGCATTTATCTGTTTTTCATTTACTGAAACAGTGTTTTGTGGATTCTTCTAGGTGACTATGAGAACATTCAATCCATCACTTCCAATTTTATATAATACTGTTTTATGTCTCCACTGTCTCAATGAAGAAATCCACTCTGTCCACATCTTCACTTTTATGGGTTGTATTCTTTGGAAAACATTCTCAGGAGTGGAATTGAAGCCCCTGTCTGCAGTCCCACCAGTCCCATGCAAGGATTCAAGTGTCAGCATATGCACCCCAACACAGGGCATTTCTCAGCTTTCCAATTTGTTAATGGTCTAGTACAAATATATTATTTTGTATTTTTTTATTATTAAGTGTTTTTGGTTTTCCTATATATAATTTTTTCTTTTTCTTTCTTTCTTTTTTTTTTTAGACAGGGTCTTGCTAAGCAGTTCAGGCTGGACTTGAGCTCACTTTGTAGCACAGGCTGGCCTCAAACTCACAACGATCTTCCTGCCTCAGCCTCCCAAGTGCTGTGTGACTTTAATCTTGAGTTCATCTTGTGTGTATATAGAGGTTAATTTTGTCAACTTGACTGGATTAAAGGATGGTCAGCGGAGTGTATCAGTGAGGATTAATCTGGGAAACATTAGCATTTGAACTGGTAAATTGAGTAAAGAAGATTGCTTTCACTAATGTGGGTAGGTACCACCCAGTCTTTGAGGGACAGATAGAACAAAAGGCAAAGGTAGGTGAATTTGCTCTCTCCTTTTGAGTTGGGCCATTGAGCTTCTCCTTTTGGACACAGGAGTTCCTGGTCTTTCAGGCTCCAAGCTTGAATGCCCTAACACTGACTGCGTAACGATTGCACACCTCTGCAAATTAACTTTTACATTTTAAATAGGTTAATTGTGCGGTATTTGAATTATAGCTCAAGAAAGCTGCTACAAAAATAGTATAACTAACTTCAATATATTGAACAACTTCTCAGTCTTATTTCGTTTATCTACCTACTGTTAAGAAGCCCCCATTTCATAGACTGATTTTTTCTGCTGAATTGCCAAAATTTGTACTCATGCTTATAAAGGTACTGCTTATTGAATTTGCTAGATACTGGAAGATGTTGAGCAAATCAGATGTATGAAATTTGTTAATACAGTTTGAAATGTCTAAGGAAGAATTCTGCAACTCTGGGGAGTTGGGAGGACCTTTTAAAATCCCAGTACCTGGCTGCAAGTGCTAGTACACACCTGTAATCCCAACACTTGGGCAGATTAAGGCAGCAGATTGTGGTAGGAGGATAGCCGCGGGTTTGAGGCCAGCCTGGACTACACAGTGAGATCCTATCTCAAAAAAATCGAAAAATAAATAAATAAATAAAATCCCAGTGCCTTGGTTGATACCACACCAATTAAATCAGAGTGCCCCAAGGCAGGAGAAGGGCCTACATACTTCATGACTTTCCAGATATTTCCAAGTGCTGGAAAGTTTGTGGCACAGTCCTCAGGTAATTTAGTTATGTAAATTGCAAAAGATGTTTCAGTAAAATCTGATGTACTTATCTCATTAATTTCAATGGAGAAACAAGATCAAATTTTTAACCAATATCTCTTTAAATTATAAATCAACAAGATCGTCGTTAGATGAGAAAAAAAAGTTTTGAAAACTTATCGTTTAAGTTTTATTATAATATTTCAATACTGACTGTACCAATCAGATAACTGTGAGATAGGCTTTTCCCAGGAAACAATATTCCCCCCACCCCCACCTCAATCCTGATTCAAGGCTGGGCGACCACTGAAGGGGCTCCGAAGGCGTCACCAGCTGGCACCCTGGCCTGCAGGGGAAAGTTCGGTTCTGGACTGGTTTCTGTTCCCTGATGGCCCGGAAAGGGATCGTGCTCATCAGGAAGTTTCAAGAGGCATCCCGGAGCCTCGGCCACGGCTCCCGGGTGACTTCTTGGGTCACTCGGGTCCGCGACCTCACCCGCAGGCCTGGCCCGGGCAATGGGCGCGTGGGCCGGGCGCACGCTGCTGCTGCTCCTCCTAGTTAGGACCGCGGCCCCGCAGGGGCGACAGACGCGTGAGTCCAGGGCGTGGGGACTCCAGGCGGGGCGCGAACCCTGCTGCCGGAAAGCGTGGGTGCGGGCGCCCGGGGTGGGGGTGGCGCGCGCTCCGCAGACAGAACCGCACCAGCGTGGGGCAGCCAGCCGCCAGCTGCAAGCGAGTCCCTAGCTCTGGGTCCGGCTCCCCAGACCCCAGTCCACCCCTCCCCTATCCCCTCCCCCACCCTCTCCTGGCGCCCTAGTCCTGGGAGTTGCCTTTGGAATGGCCACCCCCTCCGCCACTGTCACGCTTCGCTGGTAAATGGACCTCTTGGTTTCTCACTTAGGTGAGCTGAGCTTGGAGTCCTGGAACTCGGATCTCGGTTTCACTGTTTCTAGCGCTGCCTGAGTGGTTTCCCCCCAGTTATTAGCGAACAGGAAGTTCCCTCCCAGTGTCCGCGGCTACAGCGCCCCTCCGTGTCCCCGCACCAGGGTGTCGCTGGGCAGTAGGCAGACAAGGGGCTGAGCGGGCAGTTGTTGGGATCAGGATTCTACCCCTACCCAACCTCCCCGCTGGTGGGGCAGAGTGGAGGCTCCGCAGAGACGCCAATTCTGGGCCGTCCTGACTCACCAATTGTTCTTTACCCTGGAAGTTTATGTTATTTCTGAAGTTTGCTAAGGTAACAGCTTCTTTTTCAGCTAGACTTTGTTAATTTTCTATGCGCTGTATAACTAAGGGGGCTTTGTTGACTGTATGCCGGAGTAATGATTAACATTTGACCAGTGAACCCGCCTTTAAACCACTTTCTGACCCATGATTTTGTTGATTCCCGTTATGCTTTGGGAAATAGGAGCCATTTTTAGGTTTACTGGTTCAGTGGCCCTCGGGTTATATAACTCCCCTAAGGTTACAAAGAATATAATAAATATGGTTTTCCCAAGTTGTGAGGGTCGCCAGATGGAGATCTATCGAGAACCCCTGTCAAAATAAAAAAATAAGGGCTTGGGATAGAGCTCAGTGTAAGGCCCTAGGTCAATCTTTGGTGCCACGGAAAGGAAGGGAGAGGAAAAGAGAGAGGGAGGGGAAAAGCAAAAGAACCACTGAGCCAAAGGACGAGCAAGAAGTACAACGCTAGAGCCAGAGAAGTGAGTGGAGGAGACAAGCAAGGTTGACCACAGGCAAAGTGGCAGGTCCTAGGCCGTAGGGTACACGGAGGAGAGACAGGACCTGTCATAGGTTTTGGCTGCTGTGTGGAAAGCAAAACAGAGAGAACAGTGAGGCAGAGGGACCAGCCAGAAAGCCCCAGGCAAGAAATGATAGAGCAGGCTGAGTTGGGGCTGGGAAGGGGGAATAGGAAACATTTGAACTCGGATGTATTCTTTTTTAAAGGAAGTTTCCGAGTGAACCATGTATGATGCCAAAGAGAAAATTCAAAAGTGGCAGTGTTCTTTATTTTACTTCATTTTTCTTTTATCAGACTCACAATGGAGTGATTTCTGATGCCATTCCTGAAATGGTAAAGGCAAAGGAAAACAATGTGGGGGAAAATTAAGAGCCCAGTTTGGGATATACATTTGTGGTTTCAATCTGCTAATAGGTGCTGTCAAAGCAGTTAAGAGTCTAGAGTTCAGGGATAGAGATAAAAATATGAGTCATTGTTTATTCATCCAACAAGCATTTACATGTTCATGTGGACTTCTGGACTATAATGGAAGTACCTAGCATGAGCCAAGTGACACTGTAGGCATTGGGGTACATACCAGAGCCACCTCATTTTGTCATGGAGGGAAAGTATAAGGACTGACCTGCCTAGAAGTCTTGTCCTCTCAGCTTTTGGGAGCTCCTTATGTATTTGCTGGAAATTTGTCCTAAACTGTGTATCAGCACATCTTGCAGCAAATATTTTCACAGAAAAGTGTTTGGAGGTGGACATTCCCTAGGAATGGATCTAGTAGCTGTGAACTTCATCTTCACAGACCATAGCTGGAGATGCCTCAGGATCTCCAGAGCCTGCTGGTTTGGGAGAAATTGCCTGATCATGAGTAACAGAGCAGAGAGCAACTAATGGGTAGGAGCCACCTGGGGCAGGGGAGGTGCACAGGAAACACAGCCAGGGTTGTCATGCAGAAAGATGCAGGACTGTGTCTCACTCTCCACAGGGACACACAGACCCAGCTGGTGATGTGGGCTAATTCAACTGTGTGGACTCTGAAGCTGGGCCCCATGGTACCGGTGCTGAAAGCCTCTTGCTCTCTCTCCAGGCTCCCACACTCTGCACTACCTCTTTGTGTGTGCCTCAGAGCCCGAGCGTGGGCTGCCTTTCTTTGAGGCTCTGGGCTATGTGGATGACCAGCTGTTCGTGTCCTACAATCATGAGAGTCGCCGTGCTGAGCCCCGGGCTCAGTGGATTGGGGGCAGGACCTCGAGCCGGCTGTGGCTCCAGCTCAGTCAGAGCCTAAAAGGGTGGGAGCATATGTTCATTGTGGACTTCTGGACTATCATGGACAACCACAACCACAGCAAGGGTGAGTGGAGAGGGCTCACCTTCCTGAGGTGCTGGAGCATCTCACTGCCTAGGGGTGCTTGTGAGGGAGAGCTGGGAGCTTGAGGTCTGGGGAAGGAAGAGGGGAGGCATGTTCATCCTGGCATCATGTGGGCCGTGGGGATGGTGGGGACAGTGCCCTACTCTTTTGGCTTCAGTAACGAGCAAGTGTGTTGCCAGAGTCCCACACCCTGCAGGTGATCCTGGGCTGCGAGGTGCAGGAGGACAACAGCACCAGGGGCTTCTGGAAGTATGGGTATGATGGGCAGGACCACCTTGACTTCCGCCCTGAGACACTGGATTGGAGAGCAGCAGACCCCGCGGCCCATGCCACCAAGCTGGAGTGGGAAGGGCACAAGATTCGAAATAAGCAGAACAAGGCCTACCTCGAGAGGGACTGCCCTGAGCAGCTGCAGAGGTTCCTGGAGCTGGGGAGAGGGTTTCTGGACCAGCCAGGTATGGAGACAGCACCTTCCTGTCCCCACACTCTAGTGGAGGGAGTGGAGGGGTAAGAGGCGTGGGATTCCTGGCTGAGGATTCAGAAGTGGCCAAGGCTATGCACAGTCCCTCCAGGACTTTCCCAATCCTAGGGTACCCACCTCATGATTGAGATGTATGATGTAGCCATGAGTCATGGTTTCCATTATTTTTCTCCATGCGCATGACCAAAGAGGAAGTATCCAGGATCTTCTTTTGAGCTACTCAAGAACCTTGTGCATATTTATACCTTTTAGAAATTTAGAAATGTCAACTATCACATGAATACCAAGGCCAGAAAATACCCAGTGACACAGAACAACAGAATTTTTGCAGGTTAAAGATACTATTACAAAACATAGCAACAATCACTAAGGCCTGCTATCTTCTGAGGGCCTTTCTTGTAAGAATATTTAGAGAGTTGAGCCTGATGGAATTGAAAGTCTGTGTACATGTTTACATATTAGACAAGAGAGCAGACAGCTATGTGTATGATTGTTCTCCATATAATGCTACAGTAGAGCTGAATCTTGGATAGAGTTTTAGGACACAAAATGGTGTCTCTCTTGGAGCCCTTTTTGTCTAAAAAGGATACGTCTTTCCTCCAATCTACTGAGGGAAGTGAAAGATGAAGTCTTCTTGACAAGGATAAAAAGATCCACTCCCCTTATCCTTCCTCTTTCCTGTTAAGTACCTCCTTTGGTGAAGGTGACTCATCATGTGGCCGCTATGGTGACCACTCTACGGTGTCAAGCTCTGAGCTTCTATCCCCAGAACATCACCATGAGGTGGCTGAAGGACAAGCAGCCGCTAGATGCCAAGGAGGGCGGGCAGAAGGACGTGTTGCCCAACGGGGATGGGACTTACCAGGGCTGGGCAGCCTTGGCCGTGCCCCTTGGGGAGGAGCAGAGATATACCTGCTTAGTGGAGCACCCAGGCTTGAATCAGCCCCTCACAGCCAACTGGGGTAAGAAGGAGAGCCACGGGCTGAGAAAATCCGTTGTTGGGGTCAGGGGTGCTCACTGTGCAGGTGAAGGGAGGGTCTGCTTTGGGGAGGAAGGCATGGGCTTGAATTTGCTCTTGCTGTTTTAGAGCCTTCGCCATCTAGTGCCCTAGTCATTGGAGTCAGCAGTGGCATCACTGTCTGTGTCATCATCTTCTTTACTGGAATTTTGTTCCGAACCTTCAGGAAGAGGCAGGCTTCAAGTGAGTAGTAACAAGGAGGAAGTCATAATGCCTCTGCCCCAGAATGTAACTTCTCTTCCTGCAGAAAATGGGGTAGAGGAAAAGCCCTGTCTATGAGAAGATTTCTCCTCTCTTCCTTTCTTTAGGGTCACCAGCACCTCCTGAAAGCTGGAAAGGAAACAATGTAGGTTTTCCCCACTAGAATTAAATTTAATTCAACAAACACCTTTTGAGCACCTGATATTATACAGGTACTGTGAGAGTCATGCTGAGGTTGATAAAGTTGCTTGGCTGTTCTCAGATCCCAAATACAGGAGGGAATGACATACATGACAATTAAACACAGGTGAAGACCCCTGCGGCCCTAGGGCAGATACAGAGAAGTGCTGTAGGTGTCAGAGGAAGAAATGATCACAACAACTGGGACCCGAGAATGCTTCTGAATTTTGAAGAAGTGACATTTCCTTGGATGAGGTTTAGGACAAGGAAAGATCTAAAATGATAGAACAGCCATGCAAGTAGGAAACTGTGAAATATACAGGATGCGACAGCTCATGCACACTTGGTGTCCCAGCTGGTCACCAATTCTTCAAATTTATGCTGTGAACATCTGTGGCATGGAGAAAAGAGAGAGGACAGAAGCCAGCTAATGTATCCCATTGAGACATTATGTTATGACCACTGGGGTATCAGTTCAGGAGAGATGCAGTCTCCGTCAGGTGGTAAATGGATTGTTAGGAAGTGAGATGGGCACAAGAAGACCAGGTAGAAATCAAATGAACAATTTAGAAGATGGAGTACCAGATCTGAAATCCAGTGGTAGAAAAGAGTAACTCAAGTTGAGATGGGTAAAAGAGGAGGGTAAGGGACAGGAAAGAGGTCAGATGGTGCTAAGGTCAGTGATGCTTCTCCCTGGGTCTCGTCTTCGCAGGTGGAGCCATTCGGGACTATGTCTTAGCCAGGTGTGAGTAACCCGCAGACTTCAGATCTGTCCCATGGAGGAGACACAACCAGAGATTCAAAGAGGGAGTGTCCTTGTGGAATTCTCCGTATTTTAGGACAGTAGGACTTAACAAACAGAAACTGCCAAAACAACTCTTTGCTTTCTAAAAAAGTCTTCCTCAGTAGCTCTTTGAGTTCCTGCATGATCATGACCTCCAGCACTGACTTTTTCCTCAGAACTGTGTTGCATAAATCTCAAACTGCCTCCAGATGCTTCCTTCATTTCCTCCATCAACTCAGATCCTGTACACCTGTACTATCTCATCTCCAGCCTCTAGAAGAAGGCTTTTTAAATTTGGGAGACTCATGTTTCTTTTTAACATCTGAGAAAAGCTTTGCCCTGGGACATGGACACTTGTACTACTACTACTAGAATTTTGTAAAAACATCCTGGCATCCAGGACCCACTCAACTTTCCCTTGTGAGTCCCCTTTCTGTGCTATCCAGTAATTCGTCTGTCACCAAGCCCTGGATTCCTTTCCTTCACAGCAAGATCTGGGTCATTGTGCCGCTGTAAAGGCTGTGCACCGCTCAATTTAAAGCAGCACCCTTCCTGGAAAAGAATGGGTGTTTTGTGTGCTTTTGTAGTTTTACAGCAGAAGGAAAGGAAGTGTCTTAAAGGGGATTTTCCAATTCGCATAAAGGCAACAGAGAGGTTTTCAAAGATTAGTAACACCTGCAGATTTGGTCCCACTCTAGCATGCAGGACCTGAAGTACCATTTCTCCTGTTCTGTAATGAAAATCATGGAAAGGATAATAATAATAATGATACTGTAGCTGACACTTATTTTTAAAAGGCATGCTATATCATATTCTGTTCTGCATACTGCTTACAGGAATTACTGCATGCAATATTTTATGAGGCAGGTACTTAATCCTCTGCCCTCTTTGTAGTGGCAAACCTATGGCACGCATGCTGCAGCTGGCTGTTTATTATCATTGAAGGCTCTGAAAGCTTCGCCATCACTGGTCTAGATAAAGAAAGAAATGTACAGAATTTCATGGTTTGCCCGGGCCAGGCAGCTCTGAAACCCAGCCATTCAGCAGTATGTGGTCTATGCTAGTACTGATACATCCCAGTGTACAGACACAGGGGGTAAATGGAGGAAGAGGACATGGCTCTTCTCAGTGAATTTGATCCATATGAAGGGAACAGCACCAAACAATCTATGGACCTCAGTTGCCATTTTCTTACCAAACGGACCAGACAGAGACTACCTTGATCCCCCATTTCTCTGTCTCCAGCTCTGCACGAGGACTGCGTTAGTGGGGTCAATCCATGACTGCTGGGCTTCACACTGTCTTTCCTTGGCCAGTGTCTGTAGAGTCAGAATCCTACTGATTCCCTTGACAAACTGTAGTTTGGAAGACGCCCAGGAATCTTCTTGGGGAGGCTGGGATTCTCACTGTCTTCTCCAGCTGTAGACATTTGAAACAGTTTGAACCAGGCCACTTGGGAACAGCTGAACTGTAGAAAAGGGATTTATCCAAAAATGACCCAAAGAATAATATACACCTATATCTCAATCCGTATGACACATGTTTACTTTATGTGCTGTAAATATTGGACACATAACTGCGGTACAAGCATTGTGTTTGCGGGCGGGGGGGGAGGGGCAACCGGCTTAAGGGACCAAACATAGCACAAAAGGTTTTAAATTTCAGCAGAAATCTCAACTTTTTTTAAACTTCTTTTTTTTTCTGGTTATGAAAGTTGCATAGAAAAATGTAAAAAAATTTACACTTGTGGAAAAATTGAGAAATGAAATAACATTAAAGTTATAATTTCTTTAGCTTTTATACTCTATTAACAGTTTGTCTAATACTTCTTAGAACCATATTGTTGCTTTAAAATGTATAAAATTAACATGTATTTTAATAAATGTACCCTTCTGTATCGCATGATTTTACCAATGTTCTCATCCCTCTTAGGTACATAATTATAATGTCACTTGGGGACACTTACAGAGCTTATAATTTTTTCTTACATTTTGTTTCATGGAATGTTTTCATTAAACTGTGTTCGCTGAATTAATTGTTTCTCTTCACCATAAGAATAGTAATATCTAAGTCATAAGGCACTGGCTATTTTATCTCCAAACCAAGCTACAAGCACACCGATGAGTTCTTTCTCTGTAAACATCAGCCTGTATTCAAAGCAAAATGGCAAAGGTCTTGTCTTACTCTTCTACCTCAGGAGTAGCTATGTTCCAGTTTTGGTTGGTCACACAGGCTGAGATGGTAAGAAACACTACAGTCTTCGCCATAACATTTGGCCTATTAATTTTTTCTGCCACAGAAATAATAAATTAACAAGAACTTAATTAATAAAACTCCATTTTCTTCTGTTATTTCTGGCTTTATCAATTTTTAAAATCAACCACAAGGGGCTGGGGATTTAGCTCAGTGGCAAAAGCGCCTGCCTGGCAAGTGCAAGGTCATGAGTTCGGTTCCCGGTACCGGAGAAAAACCAAAACCCCAAAAATAAAATAAAATAAAATAAAATAAACCACATTTGAAAAGTCAAAAACTTACATTTTCAATTCCTTATTGTATCTTCTCTCACTACTGGCAGGGTGGCAGTAGGGAGGAGGGTGACCTCTGGTGGCCTTGGTTGGATGTACCTCAGTGCTCAGGACACTGAAGAGTTGGGCCTGGGCTTTTCCTGAGGGTAAATAATTGCACTCACTAGCTCGTTCGTCTAAGTGACACCACTTGCAGAGTCCCTGAAGATCAAAAAAGGCAAATCATTTACCAGCTGTTTGAATGGCTTCAATCCCTTTCCACTGTTTGAGATCCTCAATTGGTAACAAGAGAAGGAAAACAAACTAGTAAGCTCTGAATTAAGTGGAGCAGCTGATTGAGGCCTGTTGGGAGGTATAAGCCAGAGGTCTCATATCATATGGTAATGTAAATTTCACAGTGCTGTGTCTACACATCATAAAACATTCTTTGGGGACGTAAGCACATTTGGAAGCAAAATCTTTTTCATAAATGCCAAAATTTCTCAAAAAGTTATCAGCTTTAATCTACCATTCTTTTTCTAACTATACTTTAATAAGGCTTGTAACCTAATTTGTACCTTTAATCATTAAAGATATTCCTGTGTGGGCTGGAATTTGTAATTTCCAGTCTCCATGTAGAATTTTGTCATCATTTGTTCTCTCTTTTTGCTTTGGTGAACGACTCTCATTCTCTAACATTTAGAACATTAATACATTATTAAAGTATAATGTGTGATGATTTAATCAGAAAGCCCGGATCGCTTTACAATCCTGCATATATTTACATTTTACTGGGCATTTTGATAGCTCATACATTCTGTTTCTTAGTAAGTTTTTATTTTTTTTATTTTTTTTATTTTTTATTTTTTGGTTTTTCTCCGGTACCGGGAACCGAACTCACGACCTTGCACTTGCCAGGCAGGCGCTTTTGCCGCTGAGCTAAATCCCTAGCCCCTATTCAAGGGAATTTTGAAAAAAAAACTAATGTAATTATAAATATGCTTATAAAACTTTTGAAACAAACATTTAAGAAAGGATAATATTAGAAATTCTCTGTATAAATAACTTTTAAAAAAGCAAATCAAAGTATATTAAGGGTGTTTATAGGAGCGCTCTCACACAGGACCTAGGCCAGGAAGTACACATGAAGGAAACTTTTAGTGAAAGAATTTGGACTGAAGGGGGAAAGCAGGGGCATTTTCTCAGAAGAGGAAGGAGAGAAAGAGAAGGAAACAGGGAGAGACATAGATTATGTTATGGAACCAAAGTCACGTCAGTAGCAACGACAGTAAATTCAGAAAAGGACCAAAAAATGGGTCTTCATAACTAGGATAAGGTGGGGTAGCTGAAAAGAGAAATGCTGTGAAACCTGAGTGGACAGTGAGATCATTCTGAGGTGGCTTGAAGAACTTTTTACTCCTGACCAGAAAGGACTGCCATAAAGCTCAGCAGACCCAGTCTAAGCACATTGGTGAGAATATATTTATGCATTTCCTCAGTGGAATCATCGTTCAAAAGTATTTCTGTCCTAGGATTTTTTTTTACTAGAGTACAGTTAGACGGTTAAAAATAATGGTATATGCAGGTTTGCCTTTTGTTCAAATTATGTGAAGAAAAAAATAAATATATACTATTTCATAATTCCAACATTCTGGTGGAATTAGCCTGAGGAGTATTCTGGGCATTTCATACTTTTTTTTAATACCTCAAGTTAATATAGTGTCAACTTTCTGAATGTTCCATGAGTCTTATTAGCCAGATTGATTTTAGAGTTTTCATCCAAATCAAATGAATGGTATTCTGCATGCTAGACTCACCTGGAGAATGAGAGAAAAGTGGCAGGAAAAGGGAATAGAAAGCCACACAGAATCAGGTGTGAACTGCCCCTCCTCTCCCCAAGCCACACAGTTAATATCTGTATTCTTCCAAAAAACAGTGGAAAAGTTCAACTACTGTATATTTGTGTTTGTATATCTTTTAAACAAATTTTTGTTCAGTTCTGGCTATGAACCAAGGGTGTCACATATGCTAGGCAGGTGTTCCACCACTAAGTTAGATTCCCAGCCCTTTTTATGTTTTTATTTTGAGACAGAGTGTAGCTAAATTGCCCAGGCTGACCTAGAACTGGTAATCCTGCCTCCGCCTTCAACTAGCTAGGATTACATATTGTTGTTTTTTGTTTGGTACCGGGAATCGAACTCAACACCTTGCACTTGTCAGGCAAGCGCTTGTACTGCTGAGCTATACTGCTGGCCTTGGAATTACACACTGTACCACTACAAAGAATTTTGGAGTCACTTTAGGAAGTAAGTGCTTATATTTATATAAATGAGTATAAGTATTATTACTTAATTTTGCAGGTTGGTTAAATATCCTACATTTATTAAAGTCTACACATTCACTCTTTTTGAATCATTGTGAAAAGTTAGAAAACGCTATATTAGAAGTAGAGAATAGAAACAAATAATAAAATGTCAAAATAAAAGTGAGGGTTTTTTTAATGCTGTAATAAGCAAAATTAATTTGTGGATAAGGCAGCCTAGATATACAGTTACACTGAAAATGGCACTTCCTGGGATGTATTTCAGAGTCGTGCTCACAGTGAATTTTTCTCCCAATTTACCAAGTTGAATACACTATATTTTCATTTTATGGATTTAAAAATGTATTGAGATTTCAGAGTTTTTCCAGTAACGTTGCACTTTTTCTTGGTAGAGTCTAACTTTCTTACTAGCTAAATCTTCTGTTATAAGGTGTGTGTTTGTGGTGAGTTGATAATTAGGAAACTAAAAACTTTCAATCTGCATGCAGAAAATAACCACTTACTTTACAAGTCTAACAAAGCATGGCATTTAAATATCCTGCCCTGTGTCTCTTCTTCCCTGCACTGGTTTTCATGGGAGCATGTTGGAGGCTGTAATACCTTCTCGCAGGTCATAGTCTAAATCTTATGTACCTACAATATGGAATTGGTTTATTAACCAGGATTTTGTTTTTCAAACAAAAACGATTCTTACCATGAAAACTTCCAAAAACTGCAGCAGGAAGCTAAGGAGAAAATTTGTTGAAGTCTTTTCAAAACTGCTACTCAGTTTTGAAACTTAATTCTGCTATTCTAACTTTTTTTAAAAAATGGGATTACCTTTGTTGTAACATCACTAATCTTATCAAAGGGCTTTAAAGGGAGGACCTTGCAGGCTTTGTAATGACCTTAATCAAGTATTAGCTCTATACAATTAATTCCCACTTCTACAAAACGTATGTTCTTGTCTCTAAAACTGGAGCAGATTGAAAAAGGATTAATAAAAGAAGAAAGAGAAAAATGTGTTTGGAACTGCAGGCAGATCAGACAGGCACAGGGGCCCTGGAATAGGGCCTACTGATCATCCAAGCTTAACGTCAGGTTTTCTGCCTCTCTTACATTCACAGAAAAAGGAGTCACATAACGAATGTTTGAATCGAGGTGGGGAAAAGAGGAAGAATGTGAACTTACAAGGTTTTAATTTGCAGTTTTTTTCCACATTTTCTGTTCCCTAAAATAGAAGCTATGGGTTGTAGAGCTACATCAGGGCCAGGTTTGCACTCTGTCCAGCACAAGGCTGTCAAAATGTGTTGGATTAAACAGAAGAGTTAAAAGTATCCGGAGGGAAAGCCCCTTGCTATATTAATCTACTTATTTTAGATATAATTTGTCCTTCACTCCTCGTTCCCTAATTAATGGAAATTTTAAAACTTTAAAAGTGGACCGAGGATTGTTGCTTATAGAGTCTGACCGGCTAAAAGTACTTCTGCAAATGTGCAAAGACCCAATAATGCAGCACAAAAGAAAATCTTTTCGGGCCAATGAAATCTGTACCTCTCTCCATCCATCCCGCCCAACCAAAGGCAAGGTTTCACTGGCCAATCAAAACATTGAAATTTTAATAAAGCTTTGCCCTTGGCCCACCCCCTCAGTGAACTAATTTGGGGGAAAAAGCCTACAAGCGCTGTAGTTTTCAATGAGGTCCGCATGTCTAGTATTTAAGGGCTCCAGTTTGCAGCAGATGTTGTAATCAGCATCATGTCTGGTCGCGGCAAAGGAGGCAAGGGTCTTGGCAAAGGCGGCGCCAAGCGCCACCGTAAGGTGCTGCGCGACAACATCCAGGGCATCACCAAGCCCGCCATCCGCCGCTTGGCTCGGCGCGGCGGCGTCAAGCGCATCTCCGGTCTCATTTACGAGGAGACGCGCGGGGTGCTGAAGGTGTTCCTGGAGAACGTGATCCGCGACGCCGTCACCTACACGGAGCACGCCAAGCGCAAGACGGTCACCGCCATGGACGTGGTCTACGCGCTCAAGCGCCAGGGACGCACGCTCTACGGCTTCGGCGGCTAAGAGGAGCCTCACTTCAAAAAACACAAAGGCCCTTTTCAGGGCCACCCACAGAGTCACATAAAGAGCTGGGTATGTTGGGTATGTTGGGTATGTTTTAAATCTGACTAGTTAGGTCTTCTATAACATTCGTAAGGCAAACCGGTAAGTAGACAACGGCTGACTTCTACTCCGGTGACTTTACGACATTTTGTCGTACGAAAATGGTGACGAAATCAGCTCTTTCAAACGAACTCGAGAAATGAACGCAGATTATACCAAGAATATATTCCCTTTACACGTTGTGAGCGCTTCTGGCTTTTTGAAAATTCTGAGGACGCTCCTGTGGCCTGGGCAGCTGGAGGCGTCTCTCACAAGCACGGACTCCGGGGCCTCATAACGATAAGAGCAAACGAAGCGACTTCGGTAAAAGCGTTCAAAGGATTGTAAAACGTTTTACGAGGGTGACCCCAAGGCTGCTATCCTGTGGTCCAAAAGGAGATCTAATGAGCAGGATCAAAAATTAAAGAGTAAGAAATTTGAGTAGCGGGTCTTAATCTGAGCTGTTTGAGGGGCTGGAAAGTGGAAGGCTCAAAGGTGCGCTGCTCCATGTAGAGGATCCCCTAGTGCAAAGGGAACTGCTAGCTGTCGGTAAGGGCAGCAGGCTGTCTTCATGGGATGGGGACCTGGGGGACACCCCTTGTGGTGCACAGTGGTCAGACAGGAGCTTAGTTTACGCTGGGCAGTGACTCGCATAATAGCACCACTCTCAGTTCCAACCTCATAGGGACGGTGACGATAACTAAAGGCAAGGACTGGATGGTATTGTACAAAGTAAACCCGTTATGATTAGTCACTTTGCATATTAGTACACAATTTAAGTTTACAGAAGTCCTACTTATACAAAGTCTAAAGAGGGAAGAATATTGAACCACGCAGAGAACATGCTCATAATATCAAATAATGTACAAAGGCATGGTTTCGCCACTCCACAGAGGTGGCCCCAAAACAAACAGTTTGAAGTAGGTTAATAGTATGGGTTTATCATATGTAATTAAGGAATGTATAAGAATGTTAAATCACAGACTAAGGGAAAGCTAAAACTATTTTTATAAAGAAAGTTATTTCAGGTTGGATTCAAGAGTTCACTAAGTAAAATTTTCGTGTTTTAGGAAAGTTAAATTCAGCTCCTAACTGCACAGCCACATTTCCAAAAAGATTAGGTTCAGGTTTTCAACCTGTGGAGTATCCTTGCAGTATCATGAAGCCTATATTTTTTTTTTTATAAATAAGATACATGAAATACTGCTTAGGATTACAATTCTATCAGATCAATAATAGTAAATCACTTTTAAAGGTACATCTGCATCTATTTATATACCAGACATCTAATAGTATATGCCACTGGTGGCAGTTGGCTGTGAATCATTGAAAGTTCTAAAAGGTTCACCTTTGCTGGTATATACTATTCCAAGATTCCTGTAACTTTACACTGAAAGTATTGTCACACTCAGAAGATTGTAAAATTTCAGCTGGAAGGTAGTAAAAATTTGAAAAAAGTAAAACTTTCCTGTAGCCCAAACCCTAGGACACCTTGATTCATATTTACAGATCCCGCAGAAGTCAGTGGACACCAAGGACCCCCATGAGATGACACTGAAGAGTAAATTGGGAATGTTAGCACTACTTAAAAAAAAAAAAAAAAAAAAGGTAGCAAGTTTTTTCTGATGCTGAACACAGCTCTATTTCCATTTCTAGTGGCTTTTCTGGAATACTGCCTACCTAAGTGATAAGCCCTACCCTGTAAGTCCTTGCCTACATAAACACCTATTAGAATGGGCAGCACCCAAGGACGTTAGCATTTTTGTACCTGTAAATTTAAATGTCACTTCACCTCATCAAGCCTCAATTTGTTAGTAGGCAGGTTAAAAACCTAGACTTCTTACAGGAACTTTTGCAAGTTCTCAGTGTTAAGTCATTTTAAAAGTTATTTGGGTGGCTCTTAAAAGAGCCTTTGGGTTCTGTGAAAACTGGTCGTTTACTTCAAGGTGCTCACTTCTTAGACACTGCCTTCCTGGATTTCGCTTTCTGCACGGTCGACCTTGGTGTCCTGGTCTTGGCCTTCCCCACTCTGGCCTTGGCAGGGCTCTTCCGCTGCGGCAGGCTCTTGGACCTTCCAGCCTTCTTCCTGCTGCCTGAGGCTTCCCTGTGTGCAGCCCTAGACTGCTTGGCCCCCCTGTTGTTTTTGGTGCTCTTCTGGGTCCTGGAGCTCCTGGGCAAACCCAGCTTCTTCTTCTTCTTGGCAGAAGTAGGCCTTCTGACCTTGCCCTTGGTGGTTTCAGGAGCAGCCTTCTTGCTGAGGCTGAAGGACCCAGAGGCACCAGTCCCTCTGATCTGCAACAAAACTCCCTTGCTCACTAAGCTCTTGAGTGCCTGCTTGATGCGGTTGTTATTTTTCTTCACATTATAGCCGGTGGCAGCCAGGGATTTCTTGAGAGCGGCAAGGGACATGCCTCCTCGGTCCTGTGACTCCACAAGAGCTTCAGTGATCAATTTGGACAGTGAGGAGCTCTGTGCTTTCCGATTTGCACTTGACTCGCAAACCCCCTTCCTGCCTCGTCTTTTGGTGGGCTGTTTCCCCATAGGATCTGGAGCGGTAGCACTTGGGACTGCAGGCAGGGTTTCGGACATACCAGTCAAGAACAAAAAGATATACTGACCACTATCGAGAGTAAACGCTAGGAACCCTGCAGGGCCTTATATAGGGTAGGACGCGCTGTGATTGGTGCATCGCTGGGACACCTCCCCCCGCCCCTCGGAGGCGGAGCGTTTGTGTTTGTTTTATGCTCAAAAGTTGAAGCCCACAAAACTCCTCCTTACAGAATTGCCCAGGTTCCACTGCTGAATGATCCGTGGGCACTCAGATTTTACCAGACTTTTTACTTTTTAGTGACTGATAACTCTACGTGCCAGAATGATTCAAGGAAACCCTCACTTTTCAGCCAAGTTCAAGGGGAAGAACAAAACTGCCTCTTTTCCTTGTAACTCAAAAAGTAATTTTAAGTGGAAATTTGTCTCATCTTTTCTGAATAGTTTTCCATAAGGGTGGCTTCTAAATGGTGAAGGAAAAAAACTACTCATGCTCCAATTTTTACTGAAAACTACTTATATATGTGAGGAAAGTAACACAAATCTTGTAGCTGTCTCATTGAAGAGTTTATAGAATGGAAAACCCAGGGTATTTTCATATTTAGGCAAGCACAATCTAATAAAACATAGATCACAGGGAAAGTAAGTGGTCTGGGTTAAAGCCATGCCCCACTTCCTGAAACCTTACAGAAGATCTTCAAGGATGGGATAAAGACGGTGACATCTGCTTAGCCAAAATCAGATCATTCTCGTGGCCGGCGTCCTCAACTGAGTTTTACTTCTCTTTACATTAATTTCACACTCCCCCCACAGTTTAGCCTCACCCAAGGTAAAGAGACATAGTCCCTGCCCCTCGTAAAGTAGAAACCCTGCCCTGAGAGACGTGTTGAACCTACAGATCCAGTCTCCAACAATATTGGACTGGCAAGTGTGGCAGTCGATGTGTTGGAAAGGGTGGTGTTGAAGTAGCGTACTGCTGAGAAAGCAGCGTACTGTGAACAGAGCTCATCATATCAGTCAAGCAGAACTGTAGAAGCACCATTTTGTAAAGATCCCCAAATACCTGTAAGGGATTTGGGAGCATATTTGCAGGCCAGGAGTCATGAGATGTTTTAAGGAGTGACATTGTTATATTATTATTGTATTTGCCTTAGCTGTAGATTTATTGCATAATCATTATTAAGAAGGGCTCAAAATCAGAGGTTGGAGTCTATTGTAACTGTCTTAGAATGAGTTTTCCCTGAGACAGTATGGGAAAGAGCATGCACATTGAAAATACCTGTGAAACAAAAGCTAAATCATGAAAATTCATATCTGATTGCAAAATACAAAAAGACTCTCTTTTTTCTGTCTCTGTATGTGTTTCTGTCTCTGTCTCTGCCTCTCTTACACACACAAACACACACACACACACCTGAAACAAAAATTTGGAAAATTGCCTTAAGCACTTGTATTAGTTTTATTTTTTAAATCACACTGGTTTAAATCACACTGTGTTTCAACCACACTGATTTTGCACTCTCCTAATGGGCTGTGACCCTCACTTTGGAATATATTTACTCCGAGGAAATGTATTAGTGTCTTTCTCATCACTGAAATAAAAGACCAGACACCAGCAGTTTATTGGAAGAAAGGTTTATTTCAGCTTATGGATTCAGAATTTGCAGTCCATCATTGGCTGGTTCCAACACAGAAACAGCATGGTAGAAGGGCATGGCAGAGTAAAGCTGCTCAATCCACAGTGGTCAGGATTCAGAGAAAGAGGAGAGGAGCTGGCACAAGAATATCCTCTTTCAGGTCATGTCGCCAGTCACCTTCTCTCTTGCAACCAGGCCCCAACTTCTAATAACAGTTTGAGTTGGGAACTCATCGATCAAGTACTGGGAAATTTAGTGTTCCCATAGTCCAATCACCTTACCAAAGTTCCAGCTCTGAGCTCATGATACTTTGGGGAAACATTTTAGAAATAAACCATAACAGGGAAATCATAGGTGCATTTATCTGAGTACCCTAAGCTTGTACATCTGTTTGGATTCTCTGACTCTGGATGATCACCAAACTTTTGGGTCCTTAAATATCAGCGGCTTATGGGCCAGGAAGTTGATCAAGTTGATCCTTTTATTTATAGGTTGGCAGACTATACCATTCTATTGCTTTAAAAGTAACATACAACTGGTGAGTTTAGGAAATTCCTGGACTATAATTTACAACCCAGATAAAGTTCATATTTTGCTTTAGATAGCTGAGAAATTACCATACAAACAAATAAAAGATGCACATTCAGAGACTGACCTATGCCAATTGTTCAACTAAGTGTTTTTTCCAGAGGAAAATGCATGAGAATTTATGATTTGCATGATCCACATGGCATGTAAATGAGAGTCAGTCAAAATAGTCAAAAACAGAAAGGATACATCCATAAAAAACATATCCATAAAATTATTTCTTTTTTTTTTTTTTTTTTTTTTGGTACCAGGAATCAAACTCAGGACCTTGTATTTGCCAGGCAGGTGCTTGTGACATTGAGCTATATCCCTGGCCCAATAAAAGTTGTTCCTAGCCACATTTAGTCAACTAAAAGTTATCACTGTACATATATATATATATATATAGCATGACACCTACATTTGCTTCATATATGAAATTTATTATATATACAATATTATAGTCATATGGGTAGCTGCCTCACATATGTGTAAAAACAATAGGAGACACTAGGAGTTATTTTAATTGTCCTTTTGTATGGTTTTCTTTTTGCACATTTCTACAAAAAAATTATTTCTATACTCAGAAAAAATCCAATATTTTATGCAGGTGCCTATTGGTCTTTCTTGATTGTTTTAATGCTTCCAGTGGCCATCCAGTAGCTATCACTTTTCGTTGGTGTATTTGTGAGGTTAAAAATGTCCAGCAGTGGCAGGTGGTAGAAAAGGTAAGTATAAAGGCTGTTTGCTCTTCTCGGTCAAAGAGAGAGATTGACTGATTCACTTCTGTGATTTATACGATCTTCATCATTGTACTTGACTCTGAAAACAATAAAAATGATAATGATGAACATTCATTGTGTGTTTTCTCTGGCTATATAGACATCAATGAATTTGGTTATTGCAACAACTTTATAAGGTACCTTCATTATTCTCCCTGTTTCCAGATAAGGCAGTTAAGGCATGGAGAGGTTGAGTTCTCCAGGTAGCATAGCTGCTGGGTAGCAAAACACTGCAGTAAGCCCACACACACTGCGCAGTACTTGGATGTATGTCTGTGCATAAGGGATAGATGTGGCTTAGTCAGTGCCCTGGGAGTTCCATTTGATGGAAGACTTGAAGGTAAGGAATTTGTCAGGTAGATAAAAGGAGTTAGGACTTTTTATAAGGAGACACAGTGACACAGGCCAAGGAGTAGGGATTGTCTAAGGAGGGAGATAAGCTTGGCCAGGAGCCCTACAGAGCTGCCTGAGAGGGATGCAGAAAGCCTTAAGTGATGACAGGCAGGAGAGTGAATGCTTGTGATTTCCACGTGGGGTGGCCATTAAGAGTTTCCAGGAGACTCCGTTCTATCCAGTGATCATCCTTCTGGTCAGCTGGTAGAAGTTGCTCCCTTGCTTCCCTTGTCTGTCTTCCTTCAAAATAAGTGAAGTCAAATGAAATATCTGATGGACAAGTGCCCAAATAAGTGCTGGGTCTGTTTCTTGGGGTGTTGTAAAATGTATTTCCTCCCTCCTCTAGACAAGTCAACAAAGACAAATCTCATTTTATGCTATCCATAGATGCAAGGTTTGCTTAACAACAAAGCCCCTTTAATTCTTGTGAGATGACACATTATTCTAGTGAGGAGGTGGGTATTTCTGTGGCAAATGTTCCTACATTTAGCTAATCCAAGAGTTTGTAATTGTAACACACTAGACATTTCTAATACCCAGGGCTCCACTTTACTTTGGAAAGACAGAGACTTTTGTTATGTATTTTACATGTACTATTTGTTTAAAAATTAATAAAAAGAAAAAAGGTCACATTTAGATACTTTTTACAAAAGCCTGTCTGGAAGCAGAGCCTGGAGGCAGTGGCAATGAGAGGAGGAGAGTGCATCCCCTCTCTTTAGTTGGTGAGAGGTGCAGTCTCCTCCACACACCTTTGAACACCTCTACTACTCAGAGGGACCACTCATGTTGGAACAGTGCATTTTATAAACTTCCTGTTGTCCAGTACAGTGGTATTAACACATTCAAGTGCCACACTCTCTTAAATACTGCTGCAAAGGCACTACATTTAGGAACCTCATTTGTCACGCTCACTTCGTATGTGCCTCTCTTATCCCACAGTACAGGGACGGCAGTGACGAACACAAGAAAAGACCCAAAGGGCTTTATTTCTCCTCTGTTCCTCCTACTGATTCTACCCTCAAGGACTTCCTTTATGCTTTCCTGCTAACATTTTATTGTATGAAGATGAACTGAATTAACATAGGAAAACATAACAATGCCTACCCCATATTAAGCACTATACCACCATGAGCTGTTCTTGCTGCATGAAGCATTTGCATTAATATGTTAATGTTAATATACATATTATCATATACATGATATGACTGATGCCCCTTTGAATCCTCTACCTTTTCCCTATCCGCAGAATTTAGTCCTTCCTCCTACTCTATATAATTTCTTATAAAAACAGCTATTTGCTGCCTTTCTTCCCCCACTGAGAAGTAAACACTATGAAAGTGGTGTGCATATCCAGGCAGACAATCCCTGAAGGTGGGCTCTTTACCAGCTGGAAGACTAAGAGCTAGGAATGGTCCTGCAGGGAAGGGAGAGGAAGGGATGAAGCCCTCTCCTTAGATCATCCCAAGACTATGGTAACAGGCAATCTGTGTTACACAGATGATGTCACTGATGGGCTGATGTAAAGCCGTTGTGGAGCCTTGTAAGAGAAGGGTAAGAAGAAGAGGGAAAGGAAAAAAGAAAAGGAGAAGGACCGAGAAGAAGTAGACATCATGACTGACGGTATTTACTTATTCTCTATCCATTAATCTTTGTTTTTCTGCACAGGTATGGAGCCAGTCTGCCTTTCCTTGTTTCCCTGGCAGGTGGGTGGAACTAAGCCTGAGATTTGGCTAAGGAAGGAGGACAAAAACGGTAAGTGTTGCTTCCTGGCCTAATTCACAACAATTTCTCTCACAGAGGCATTTTTTTTTTCCTTCTTCCTCTGTGTGTTGAGGTTCCAGCAGAGATTGCAGAGACCCATGGATGCCCCAAGTCTGAGATGAAAGGAGACTTTCTTTCTGGCAGACTGGAGAGGAGCCCCATCCTCACCATGTCACAATACAGTGTAGGAAGTCATGAACCACTACGGTATTTAGCCATGAAATTGTGAGGGTCTGTTTGATACAGTCTCACATATTACTTGCCTAGATTTCATCTAAGGTATTTTTGAAGCAAACTCAACATTGCCATTCCATAGTAGCACAAACCCACCACTATTCAGTCCATCATGCCAGGGTCCTAAGATCAGATCTGGTTTCCTCTTTAATGAATAACAAATTATCCTCAGCAAACCTCAAGCACCTCAAAACTTTGGAACCATTATTTGGCTCCACTGAGACCCCCAGATATCAAGGTTTTATGTTCAACTTTTCTTTCATTGGTTCATCATTGCCATCCCCCAGCCCTACCCAGTCCTCATCTCCCTAAACTTGCTATGTTTGTTTGTATTATTTTTCTCCATGACACTCACTTTCTAAAAGAGTAAATTTTCCTTATTTACTTTTTGTTTGTTTGCTTGCTTGACTTACAAGAGTCCTAGCCCAGAGAGGGATTTTGTGACTTTATCTCTTGACTATCAAGAGATAAAGTCACAAAAGGAAGGTATTTAAAAAATTTCTCAGATAGATAACCATTTTTGTGTTCCTATTGTGTACCAGTCTCAGGGATAGACCCTAGGGATAGTGTGGTGATTAAATCAGAGCTCAAATCCTAGAGTTGGGTAGGATAGAGTGACAGCTGGATAAGTAATGACAAGTGCGAATTGTGCAACAGTTATGCAGAGCAGCTAGGAGATGATACTCAGAGACATGTCCTGGAGAAGGCAACAGCCAAGCAGATGACTGCAGAATAAGTATGAGTTTGCCAGTAAGAAAGGAAAGAAAAAATTCCAAGAAGGAGAATAAGCACGTGGATCAGTCAGGGATCCGGGAAAAGTTGGAAGTGTACATATCTGACTGCAGCACACACAGCAAGATAGAGAAAGGAACAGAAGGGGCCCCAACAGCGGCAAGGGCAGGGGGAGAGCCTGTCAATCTATGAATGTCTCAGGAGCTTGCAGCGTATCCTGAAGACAAGATAAAACTCTTTCAAGTCCATTCCAGACCATCCATTGCAACCAGTTCACATGCTAGTGGGTGGGAGGCCCATTGCCACTTCTTCTCATTTCCAACAGATTAAATTCCAACCTTACTTATGTTTAGAATTGACCAGATCAAGTTCAGTCTTTGATTCTAAGAGACAAGAGTCCTAGGTGCTCTCTTCACACTCTCCCAAAAATCCCATACCCTGCTTTTTGCAAGGAACCACACTTGAGGCTAATAGATTTTCTTCCATTGAAGATCTCCAAATCCTTATCATCTCTATAGAATTTCTAAACACAGTTTTATTATATATATTTTTTAATTTTAAAATTATATTTATTTCACTGCATTCAAGCACAAATATGTGTATGTGTGTTTTAAAATACAATACCTAGGGTCCATGACCCCACTTTTAAAGAAAATCCGACAATCAAACTTAAATTTTATGAAATATTAAAAATTTCAATATTTTTAGGTTCTGTTCTGTACTTGAATTTAGTCCAGTGATAGAAGAGAAAAATATGAAAGGAAAAGTAAGAACAAGAAAATAAAGGGAGAAAGGGAGGAGAGGAGGAAAAAAAGAGAAGTGAGGAAAATAAAAGCTTATTTTTAGTGTTCTTGAGTCCATTTTATTACTGTTGGAGAACATGAGGTAGTCAGAGGATAAGCCTAGGGTTCCTAGTCTTCAGGTCAAGGTTTTACCCAGGGCTGCTTCTTTTATATAGGTCTCTCCCTCTGAATGAAACAAGCCTATCATTACTGTCCTTTCCTCCCTTCTGAACCAGTTGCAAGGAGATCTAATAGAGGGCACAAACAACAATAGTGGGATGAAACCAAATCTTTCTATGAATTATTCTCCAAGTTGTTCATTGGATGAAAAAGCTCCATGACAACTCCTTAAATGAGTAAACAAAAGTTGCATTCTTTTTCTCATCCTCGGGCATGGGGAATAGTAGAAAAATAGCTCATTCTCCAAATTGACTTCCCTTTTCCTAATTTATAATCAATCCATAGGGGTGGAGAACCTGTCAAGACAATTTTTAGAATTTAAAGAATTTAGTCAAAGCCTAGAATGTCTTGGAGAAAAGGTTACAAGCAACTGTGTATTGTACCTAATTTAATTTTGTGATTAATCATCCAGTATTATACAGTGAAGGTTTTAATAGCATTAAACTTCTTTTAGTTTAGGATTCCTGGGATTGTCTGCTAATGTGCTGAATGTATATACCATTCCAAATCTGGAAGAGTCAAGTTTGATAGTTGTTTTTTCATGTCCTTAGAAATATACTTAAAGAAATAAATAGGTGTGGGAAAATATGCATTTCCTCTTAATCTATTGGATGAGTACAATTAACCAGTTGTCTTTTTTATTTTAAAAAATTTATAAAATTCATATTATTTATCATAGACTAACTCCCACCAAGGTCTTCAATCATAAGCTTCCATGAGTCTTTTTAACGTAAGGACAGTTATAAATAAATATTATTTGTCAAACAGTAGTAAACAGTGTTTCATATGCATTTTAATCTTGACCTACCTCCAGAAGTTATGTGCTGTTTGCCTCATGCTCGAGATACAGAAGAGAAGAGATATCAATGACTTGCTTCAGTCTCACACCCAAAAAGTAGTGAGTCAGAAGTCAAACCTGGAGATTCTGTCTACAGAGACTTCGCTATGTTCACCATGGAACAATGCTTTGCAACCACTTTCCTGATATGATACCATTTCTGAAATGAGTGTTCTTAAGTTACTATTTTATTTCATCTTTATTGTTTATGAGTAGGTAATTAGCAGCATACTACAGGCTCAGGTTGAGTTTGTGAAGTAATAACCCAAGAATATTATGTTAATTATTAGCACACCTTTACTTGCGTACAAGGTATGTCAAGAAATAGACTGATTTCATCCAATACAGTTAAAAATATTATTTAATTGATAACACAAAGAAAACACTCATAGACTCTAGAAATAGGATATTGTGTTTGCGCATCACTTTTAGTAGAGTTCAGTATGAAGTCTGTTCTTGCATAGACTATGAAAGACTTGCAAAGCATTTGTTTTATTGATTATAATTAGTTATTCTCTAGAAACTCAAATGAAACTAATTATTTTAGAATATTTATGGTGAGGGTAAAAAATTGTTACTCAATGACTATCAAGTGAAAACCAGAGACAGGGTTTTTTGTTTTTTGGAATAAAATGTACCTCAAGAGTTTTATTATGCTGAATTTAGAGTTTGAATTTAGAATAGTTAAAAAATAAAATTGTTGAAAAATTTTATTATATTAAAATATGAACAAAGGTTATGGGCATATATAAAGCAAGAAAAAGATGCACTTTTATTTTAAAGTGACTATACATATTGTTATGGTTTGTGTCCCCCCTAAAGCCTCATGCAGTCATGGGGTGGGCTTCTGGAGTTTGTGATTAATTCATGATCCAATGCTGGGATTATGGGTGTGAGTGCTACACTGCCCTGGGGCGAGAAGCCTGCATACATTACAAGGGAGGGAAACAGGCTTGTTTGCAGCTCCTCCCTCTTTGTTCTTGCAGCTTTTGCTGTTCTCCACCACCATGAACTGTTGCCTTATTCCATGTGCCCCTCTGCCTTAGAGCCAGCCGATTATGGACCGAAACCTCCACAAATTGTGAACTAAATAAACCTTTCCTTCCTTCATTTTGGGAATCAGGTATTTTGTCTCAGCAATCAGAGAAAAATAGCCAAGACACATATTAAATTGAATTATGAGATTACTAAATAATACCAACTTTCTGTGTAATAAACATATCCACTATTTTTATGCTTATTTATTCTTTTCTGTAGCTATATTACCTGACAGGCTCAGAGTTGTTTGTATTAACAGCAGCCCTAAACAGAGCAGTCAATTGTCTTTCCTCCAGTACAAGGAGAACAAGTAATCCTACAAACTTGCTTGCTTCTTTAGGTCCAAACACATTTACAAGATGTCCATCCATTTTACAGATCTAAACTGACACCACTGGTCAATATAAATCATATAACAATAGATTTGCACCAAGAACACTTTTTAGGAATTTGTATCTTGTATCATGTAAGAAACTGTACAGGTGCCCAAAGATTAAGCATTAATTTCCTCCATTGAAAGTTCATCTAAATTCTTCAAGTTATAAATTATAAGGTCAATTTTTCAGCTGACTTATTGATTCCTTACAATGCATAAAATTATAAAATTAACTCCATTTTAAATGATATTATGATTTAACTGAGTTCAACTGAGTTACAATTTTAAAATTATAGTTAGCTGTTTACTCATCTAACCAATAAATCTAATAAAAGGTTAATTCAAATTAATTTTTAATAAAAATAACTTAGTTGCTATAATTAAATTATGCTAACATTTTTTTGTTTGTTTTTCTTCCAGTACCAGGAATCGAACTCACCAGCTTGCACTTGCCAGGCAGGCGCTGTGCTGCTGAGCTAAATCCCCAGCGTTTATGCTAACATTTTTTATTATGATCATAAAGACATAGAACCATTTCAAAGCAATAATATTAAGCTGGTAAATTTTTCCAAAAAGTAATCTTAATTAAGAATATGTGATATTTTTTCCTTATAAAAATGTATGCCAGATATTAAAGATTTTAAATTAAGGCCAGGCATGATGGCACACACCTAATCCCAGCACTCAGGAAGATCACTGGGAGTTAGAGGCCAGCCTGGGCTACATAGTGAGTTCAAGGCCAGCCTGCACTACAAAGTGAGACCCTATCTCAACCCTCCAGTTTGCACTACAAAGTGAGAGACTCTATCTTAATCCCCCCAAAAAACAATTTAAATTGTGTTTAAACAGTGAGGTACTTTTTTAACTCTTATAACCTGTTAACTAAGCCACTAAAGTAACCTTTAAACTTTTTTTTCAGTTACAACCTAAAGAGATAAAGCCTTTAAAGAATATTGATTCTTTAGAAAAGTTGGACTTATCAATTTAAATTGATATATTTAAAAATCTTTATATAAACCAATTAAAATTTAAATTTACATTACAATTTATTAAATTCATCATGACCAGAGAGAAAAACACTAACTCCCAGATTTGGTTCCTACATGCAGAGACTATCAAAATCCTTAGACAAATAACAACAAACTTTTAAAAATTAATAAATAAACCATATTTGCAGTCCTCAACAACTAACCTGAATGAGAAATAAAAGAAGGAACAAACCTGAGCAAAAATAAAGTTTTAGCACGGAAGAGCCAAAAAGCATGAAAAATCTCAAAGGACAAAGCTAAGGGAGAAGTGCTTGGAAGCCACACATTATTGTGGATTCCTGTTGCTGCATTCAAATATTTTCTGGTGGAACCTCCAGAAATAAAGAGTTAATGATTTGTCTGTTTTCTTGTATCGAAGAGAGAGCAGGTAGTACGTAGTAGCATTACTTCATCGCACACAGGAAAAACAACATTTATGTAAGATGGAAAAGGACTGGAGAAATTTGCATTCTGCCTAAGAACAGTGAATCCTGTTCCAGGTTTGTTTAACTGATTAGTTAGAAGAGAGGTTAGACTGAGCTGGACATCAATTCCTCCACAGACCACCTAGAAAGGTAGGAAAATAGGCTGCGAAGGGCTAAAGAAATCATGAGGTTTGGCTGTAGGGCATGTACGACGTGTCCCTAGTGTCCTGCATTTGATTTATTTATTTTTTTTTTTTTTTTTGGTTTTTCTCCGGTACCGGGAACCGAACTCACGACCTTGAGCTTGCCAGGTAGGCGCTTTTGCCGCTGAGCTAAATCCCCAGCCCCCAGTGCCCTGTATTTGAAAACCTGAAGTGCCGCACCATTTCTGAGGAATACCCGGTAAGTCAAGATCAGCAGCCAGTAGACTGCAAAGATTTGTTCAAAGTGGGGAGTGTTTACTTTACACTTCCAGAACGAAGAAAACTACAGATTTCAGGTCACAGGGTCTCTATGTAATTTTGAAACACTAATTACATGGTATTTCACCTAAGATTGTAAAACTGCTTTTAAACATTTTGCTTGTACTTTCTAACATCTTAAAGGAAGAAATTTCTAGGTGCAGAAAATGTTCCAGGCCTCTGTGGATAAAGACCTTCTATTTCACCTTAAAATTTGTCTGGAACAAAATACTAATAACTAAAAGCAGGTTGAATTTCCCGGAATTTCTCAGTCCCGGAATTCAGCTTGCATTGTCAGACGTGAAAGCGCTCCAGGACACTAAGCCACGCCTACCAGTTTCTCTATTGTCTCACCTTTGTTCTAGGACCAGCCTGCAGCTGTGGGCTTTGCAGGTTTCCCAATTAATCTAGCACTTGGAACTGCACTTTCTAGAAATGATCTTTTCAACCTTGATTGCTCCTTTTAATAATCTTACTTTCAGTTTAAGCCTCAACTGCTAGACAAAGTATGGCACTGACCCGAGACTGATACAAAGAATTGGTTTGAGTCTGCGAGAGCAAATCAAAGATACAGTTTGGGGACAATTTCAGTGTCTAACTGAGGCCTTAGTGCCATTGAAGTAGTTCTTTTAAGACTAATCCTGTGACTTAGGTGTGCTTTACCTGCCACCCCGCAACCAAATAGTGCGTAATCAGCTCTCCTTGTGGACATGTGGGTGGCTCTTAAAAGAGCCTTTGGTGATAGGTGGAAAAAGCTTACTTGCCAAATTTACTTGGAGCTGGTATACTTGGTGACGGCCTTGGTGCCCTCGGACACGGCGTGCTTGGCCAGCTCCCCGGGCAGCAGCAGCCGCACGGCCGTCTGGATCTCCCGAGACGTGATGGTCGAACGCTTGTTGTAGTGCGCCAGGCGCGAGGCCTCGCCCGCGATGCGCTCGAAGATGTCGTTCACGAAGGAGTTCATGATGCCCATGGCCTTGGACGAGATGCCCGTGTCGGGGTGCACCTGCTTGAGCACCTTGTACACGTACACGGAGTAGCTCTCCTTGCGGCTGCGCTTGCGCTTCTTGCCGTCCTTCTTCTGCGCCTTGGTCACCGCCTTCTTGGAACCCTTCTTCGGGGCAGGCGCTGACTTCGCTGGTTCCGGCATCTCTAAGATCTCAAAACAGAAGAGGAATGAAAATACCAAGCCGATTTCTGCTATTTATAGGGCGTTTATGCTAATGAGGGATTCAGAGAAACGCTGAGATAATTGGAAGACAAACGGTTGGACCGTCATACATGGGCAGAACTATGTAAATGAAGGATGGAAATGCAGCTTTTCTATTGGCTACTTTCGCGATACTGTTTCTGGCCAATCAGACAGTGGAGTTTACGATCCAGGCGCTAGCTATAAAAGCAGCCACGTTTTACCTCTTTCCTTACACTACTTGTTTTTCTGTGGTTCTTGTCTTTGTGTTTCCGTATCTTTAGCGCTTTCGGGATGTCTGGACGCGGTAAGCAAGGAGGAAAAGCTCGCGCCAAAGCTAAGTCTCGCTCTTCTCGCGCTGGCCTGCAGTTCCCCGTCGGTCGCGTACACCGCCTGCTCCGCAAAGGCAACTACGCGGAGCGCGTGGGCGCCGGAGCCCCGGTGTACCTGGCGGCCGTGCTCGAGTACCTGACGGCCGAGATCTTGGAGCTGGCGGGCAACGCGGCGCGCGACAACAAGAAGACGCGCATCATCCCGCGCCACCTGCAGCTGGCCATCCGCAACGACGAGGAGCTCAACAAGCTGCTGGGCAAGGTGACGATCGCGCAGGGCGGCGTGCTGCCCAACATCCAGGCCGTGCTGCTGCCCAAGAAGACCGAGAGCCACCACAAGGCCAAGGGCAAGTGATTTGATAGACATCTGAGTTTCCGGAAACCACACTAAACCCAAAGGCTCTTTTCAGAGCCCCCACTATTTCAAATGAAGAGCTAAAAACACTAGCTAATTCTAAGGTAAGTTCTATCGTTATCATAGTAACTTGGTTATGTTACAAAGAGTTTCTCTGAGCGTGGTGGTGCATACTCACAGTCCTGCCCTTCTCAGGTTAAAGCAGAATTCCCATGAGTTCGAGACTACCCCAGCTATATAGTGAGTTAAAGGCCAGCCTGAACCACATAACAAAACGCTGTCTTGAAAAATAATAACAAAAGTAAAAAATAAATTTTTAAAGAGAATTGTTCTACTTGGCAGCAAACAAGAATTAGGTCATTGTTCACGTACACTATCCTTACAGAGGATGATTGGTCAGTAGCACTGATCTGGAGCTAACTGGAAAGTAAAGTGTGAAAAACTAAGATTCCCATAAAAGGTACGTGAGATGCTCGAAGACATTCCCTGATGTGGTAACTTCCCTGCCTGACATAAACTGGGTGTAGGTTGTGGCTTAGCTTGCTTCATGCTCTAATAACCTCATACTCAAGGGCCTGGACTACACTAGAAATATTTTAGGTGGGTGGAATCCCTAGGCTTCCAACCCAGCCTGAAAAGCAGGTGTACAGGGACCCCAGGTCTCTCAGATACTTTTGTTACCATGGTAGATAAGTGGTAACAGTTTTTCCAACGACAGGAAGTGTTCTGGGGTCATGCAAAAACCTCTAGCGTACTCTTCTCCTGGGTTCTTGGTCCTACTGGACTTTTTTCAGGATGACATGGTTTATGACAAAGGGGAAATGGCAGTTGAGAGAAGCACTGTGTAAAAGCTGACCAGTGCCTGTGAGCTCCGACTGGCCAAGCAGGACAGCCACGTAATAATGAAGGTTCCAGGAACTCCATGGAAGCATTTTGAGTGGAATCGTTTCATCTGGGGTTCAAACCCATGTGTGGTGGGGAAAAAAAAATTTTTTTTAATCCAAGCAGAATCTAATTCCTGTGGATACATCTTTCCAAATGCTGACGTCTGCCATGTTCTTGTGGCAGCCCCTACTTCCCTACTTTGCCCCAGCAGTCATTTTGAAAAGGAAATGATTCAGTGTCTTAGTGCTTGGTGAAGGCAAGAAAAAACCAGGAACCACCCTAACAGAATTTTCTGAGGCATTATTTAAATTAGAGTGATTATACCAGGCAGCTGGGATGAGAAATATCAGACTCAGAGGAGGTCTGGCCTGGGTTGTCTGTGAAAATCAAGTTCTTTCAGCCTAGCATTTCTTGTATGTGGGAGAACTTGGTTTTTTTAGGTTGAAATTACTTCCTGTGAGGCTTGGAATCCTTTTCATTTACTTCCCAAGCTGCCCTTGAACCCAGCTCCCACATTCCCTGGGTTACTTAACCTCTCTGCTGCCATCTTTTGTGTCTTTACCTTGCTGAGAAAAACCCAGTTCAGCAGTGTGACTTTAGAAATCAGAACACAGGCTGATCAAGAGCGATGCTGTGTTGGGTGTTTACTGTGTAAGACACGTTTCTCTGAGCTCCCAGCCCATGGACTCATGTAATATAACAATTTTAGGAGTTCTAGCTCTACAATAGCAAGGACTAGGTTAAAAGATTTAAGTCCCAAGGCAATTATCTAGTACTTCCAGTGGTGATTCTTCCATACCCACTCCTCCCTTTCATAGATAGTCAGAAAAATGAAAACAGAAAAAATAAAATCAATATGTAATGGGTGAATTTTTACCACATGCCAGAATGGTCCTGATGCCATCTTAAACTCTGGAGAACTTTTTTTTTTTTTTTGGTACCGAGAATGAAACTCAGGGCCTTGCACTTGCCAGACAGGTGCTGTGCCACTGAGTTATATCCTGGGACTTGGAGAACTTGAGTAACTTAAGGAGAGTTAATTTTCCCCAATATCTACATAAAGACTTAAATCTTTTTTTTCCCCCCCTCCGGTACCAGGAACCGAACTCACGATGTTGCGCTTGCCAGGCAGGCGCTTTGCCGCTGAGCTAAATCCCCAGCCCCAAGACTTAAATCTTTACAATGCGATAGCACAGTGAACCCAGAAAAAAATCCAGTAGCTGTTTTATTTAGAGTGTGATAAATGAAACACAGGGACTTGGTTTGGTGGCAGATGATTTTTAAGTGCTAAAGGGCTTGATAAACATATTTATTATGGTAAGGAAAGGAGAATGGAAAGACACCACTTGAAGTCTCTTCTGGACTCCAATAGCAAGACTTTGTATTTGATTATTTAGTAATGAGTGATACATTTAGTAATGAGTGATACTTCGTTAACCTCCATGTTTTCATATTCAGCAAAACCTCCATAAAGTAAAGGACTTCATCTTGTTAAATTATAGATAATCAGCACATATCCTCCTACTCGGTAGACCTTACTTAATACAGGAACTCTAAGTAAATGTTGAGCTCAGTGAATCAGTGACTGAGCAGCCAGGAAGCACTTCGTCCTACAGAGACTGTTTTTCACTATCTAGACATTAAATACACATCATACTTAAACTGCCAAAAGCACCTTTATTTCCATAGAAAGTGCCTTCTACTTAATTTGCACTGAGAGCCTCCTTGGGGAACTTCAGAGAAACAGAAAGTGCCAGCTAATCACCTCTCACCTAAAAGGGGCAGCTAAGATCCTTCCCCTAAGCAAAGAACACCCTTCACACCTCTGTCCTAATTCGCCATTTCCAACATACTTCTTCACTTTGTAGTTTAGAATGTCACTATTTCTATATAAAAGCCCTGGTTCCTTCAGGGGGAAATTCTCTAGTGGACAACAAACTCTCCATAGCTTCAGTTGGATTCCAGCCCTTGACCCAGTCGGGTCCTGGGAAGACTAACCTTGCCAAATTCATGAGAAGCTACACCCAGGCCTCCCAGTTACAGAAAGAACCTAGCACCAGAAACAAATGTTTATCTCGGATTTTCCTGAGCTTGAAGGCTGTACAGAATCATACCTGGATATATAAGTTACTGTATCCTAAACAAAGTAGCTCTGTGTAATATCTCTTTTTAAATATTAAAATAATCTATGTGCCAATAGACTATCCTGTACTCTGTCATTATTATTTATTTTGTTTTTCTTTATCATTTGAACTCTTTTTTATAGGTATGAAGTTCTGTAACCAGTTGTGAAATAAATTATATGTATTTTAAGGTTGGATTTAGATTGACTTCTAAAGGTTTGTCACATGTTAATCCTAAATTGTAATTATAAATATACATATTTCTATTAAGTATAATGCTATAGAAAATTATATAATTATAATTATATAATGCTATAATGTATTAGAAAATTGTTAGGAATACAACTGAGAAAACTGAAACTAAAGGTTTACAAACAGCCACAGGCTTCTCTGCTCTCTAGTTTCTCCCAATACCTTAAATATTGTACCAAACCAAATAAGATGAACTTCATGAGGAAACCTACTAAAAGATAGGAATCACCTCTATTTATAACTAATAAGCTATTCTTAACAAACAGAAATCTATTTTTAAATAAATGTAATTGGAATAAAATTTAAATTAGTGTAATCAATTTTTTTGTTAAATTAGACTTTCATTGGACTTCATTGTAGTTATTTTTGCTGTGGTTTGGGCAGGATGAGAAAACCTACATCTCTTAGGACTGAGAATCTAACTGGATCGCTGATAGTCAAAGCTCTTTCTGAAAGAAGTAGGTGTGCTGAGCTCCATAATCTACATGATGTCAGCTGTCGGTTGGGGCTAATCTTTACCAAATACTTCACTGTTTATCTTAGTGTATTCAGACAGCTATAACAAAATGATGCAGATTGAATAGTTTAAACAATATAAATCTATTTTCTCACAGGTTCTGTGGTGTGGAAATCTCAGACTAAGGTGCAGCAGGGTTAGTTTCCCATGAGGCTGTATTCCTGGCACCTAAGTAGCCGGCTTCTCCCAGTGCTCACTTGGCCTTCCCTCAATGAAGGAGTGAGGGAGGGCTCTCATGACTTCTCACAAGGGCATAAGCTCTACAGAATTAGGGCCCCATCCTTACCACCTTCATTACCACTAATAACTTTGTAAAGCACCCTCCTTCAAATAACTGTTACGCTGGGGTTACAGCTTCAACATCTGAATTAGGGGAGTACAAGTCAGTGTATAGCATTTCCCCCTAGAGCAATAAAATTTATGTCTGCCTCTCATGCAAAAATGCATTCATTTCATCCCAACAGATACCGAAGATTTATCCCATTCCAGCATCACTTCTACAGTCCAAAGTATCATCTGTATCATCTAAGATACACATGAAGCTCAAAGTACAATTCAGCCTGAGTGAAAATCCTTTCTACCTGTGAACCTGTAAAACCAGAAATGTTTTATGCTTCTAGAATACAATTATGAAACAGACATTGTCTAGATCTTTCTATCCCAAAGGGACAGATAGGAAAGAAGCAACGGATGATGGGTTCTCTGTAAGGCCACGAACTGAAGGGTAAAACCCATTAGCTGTTATATCTGGAGAATAAGCCTCCTTGGCTCAGTGTCCTGCCTTTGAGGCCCACTGGGGTGGCAGTAACATCCATGGCTCTGTGTGCAACCTGCCCCTTCTTTTCTGAGGACCCTACTCCTCCATTTTGCAGTGTGTCCTTCTGATCGCTCTACAGGGACTGGCCCCTACATACCTCAGCAATGTGGAGATGGAGATAGATCACCATTCCTTCCCTCCAATCTCTTCCACCCTGTCTGTCCACTCACAGCCTGAGGTGGAAGTGAAAGCCACAATGATCTCTGCATTGCCTTTGGGTCCCTTCTTCCTTTCTTCTTAAGGACAGTACACATTTATAGTTGGATAACTCTAAGGTTTTGTCTTCTAGGATCAAGAAAGTCTGAAAACCTTCCTTCCTTCCAGTTTTCTATGTTTAATTTAGAGTGGCAGCTTCTCTGCTGGCATCTCATCTTTCTATTCAGCTTCTGCTGAGATGGCTGATTTGATTCCTAGTCTCACCCAGGACCAGGACATTGCTATCAAATGGTAACTCAACCATACCTCTTTAAGCAGAGCTTTCTCAACTTTAACGATATAGGTAAGGGGACAATTTTCCAAATCTCTGTTCTGGTTACTTTTAATTAATAATTCCTAATTCAATTCTTCTCTTTCCTCTAGCATTTTACTAGAAGGAGTAAGCAGGACTCAAACTTCACTTTCCAAATTCTGCATGGTAAATCTTCTCTGTTGAACATCCATTTTGTTGCTTGTAAATTCTGTCTTCCAGGAAACACTAGAACAAGTTCAGCCAAGTTTGTGCCACTTTATATGTATTTTAAGAGTGGATTTAGGTTGATTTCTAAAAGTTTCTCATGTGTTGATTCCTTCAGTTTCTAACAACCTGTTCCTCATTTCCAAGATGTCACCAGAGTGGTCTTTAATGCTCAGACTTGAACCGACGTTTCGTTCATGATTATCTATGTATTCTCCAAGAAAATGGAAGCTTTCTCCCCAGCTTTCTCTTCTTTCCTTTCTTAGCCCTCATCAGGATTGTCTCTTACATTTACTCATCTATAGCAGCCTGTTCATAGCAAGTGACTTTTTCTAGCATAAAATTTGTGGTGGATTGACAACTGGTGCTCAACTTGTAACACCCAGCTGAACTAAGTAAGTGTGGTGCTGAAAGTGGGAAGCCCACCGGAGGATTATTGCCAGCAGCATAAGAGGGAGAACTGGAGAAGTAGAAGTAAGGCTGTTGGGAGCTGGTAGAAACTATAAGGAGCTGTTGGTTCTGTTGGGGAAACTTGTCATGCTGGCTATCCTGATGAACTTGGCTGTTTTCATCCTCTGAAGAGCTCAGGACCTTCTTGGCACTGAAAATAGCTTCGGTTCACTTTGGGGAAGCTCTGGTCCTCACTTTGAGCATCACTTACTGGCCCTGGAGCAGAAGATGGTGTACTGCCGATCTCCTGCAGAAGCTTGCTGCGTTGGCTTTCCTGATGGGAACTCGGCCATCTTGATTATCAGAGGAGCTAGGGACCATACTGTTGCCAAAGATGGCTATGGTATCTTTCAGAAGAGCTCTGGTTCTTACTTTCAGTGTCACTTCCTGGCTCCAGTGTAGATCCCTCAGCCTGCTAGCACAGATCCTTCATCCCGCTAGCACAGACTTTCTAGATTCCACCACTGACCTTTGGGCCTTCCCAGTGAAGATCCATGAAACACGCCTGCATGAGACATTGTTGTGGGCTCTAGGCCTCCAGCTGGATTTATGGGAGGCATTGTTATGGGCTGTAGGTCTTCAGCTAGATGCATGCAGAACATTATCACAGGATCCAGGACCTCAGCTGGATTCTTGGTCTATAGTGTATGGACAGATTTCCTACACTCTCTTGTATAAGATTCTTTGGGTGACTATTATAAATAAGCCTATAAAATATGTGTCCTGTATTGTATTGTTCCCTTTGCAAAATAAGCCCCAAACTACAACAAACTTCAGGACTTACCATTTACCCAGTTCAAAAGCCACCTCTACATGTTCACATGTTTACTGTGGCCATGCCCCATTTTCTTGGTAACTAATCTATCAGTCAGCTTGGGGTGACACAGCAAAATACCAGACTGGATAGCCTCAACAACAGAAACTGATTTCCTCGTCACTCCAGAGTCAGTCAGTGGCTGCCTAGTTGGTGTCCTGTTAGGCTCTCTTTCTGGCTTACAGTTCATGCCCCAGTCCCAGGCAGATGAACACATTCACTCTCTCCTTTACTTGTTAATAGCTTGAGCTGAAAATATATGGCTTTGACTTTACGCCACAGCAAGTAATCCTTGCCTTATATGTCTGCCTCAAAATGATCAGGCTGACCTGTGCTCTAAATTTTAGAAACTTAGAGATTGGTTTGGTTCCTTGCTTTTTACTCTGTCTCCTTGATGACTTCAAGAATATTGGAGTTTCAGAGAACATCTAAAAACTGTAAACTTCCAATTTTACATCTCCAGTCCTGGGCTGGGGATTTAGCTCAGCGGCAAAGCACCTGCCTGGCAAGCGCAAGGTCGTGAGTTTGGTTCCCGGTACCAGAGAAAAACCAAAAAACCAAAAAAAAAAAAATACATCTCCAGTCCTGACGCATTCCCTGAAATGCAAACATGCATTTCTATAAACATCTATAAATGTTTACATGACATTTTCACCAGGAATTCAGGCCTCTGCACCTGCATATTTAAAGACACAGTGGTAACATGGTCCTCCCCAAGCCTGTTATCTCCTCCCATCTTCCCCAACCCAGGAAGCAATACAAACATAAATCCCCTTGCTCAAATCGAGATTCTAGGAGTGAGACTTGTTTCTACTCCTCTATCTCCACAAACACAAACTGTTAGTCGTGTCACGTACCTCTTCAAAACATGTGTACGTTAAGCCTCCACACTTCATCCAGTGACCATTGGACTCACACATGACTACCTCTGGCCTTCATCCACCTCTTGTCCTTTGCTCCGTTCTAGCCAAAGTGGTCTCTCTTCCCCACAAACAGCTAAGCTTCACTGCTTCGTGATGTTTGTATTGCTGGGGTCTTTCTCTGATCCTCTGTATATTCTTCCAGGGAGTCCATTTTCACCCTTCAGATCAGAGCACTTATCTAAATAGATAAATGTAGCACAATTAAAGATCTAAAAAGATGACCAAAAAAATGCCAAAAACCGGGACCTGGTGGGACAAGTTTGTAATCCCAGCACTGAGGAAGCTGAAGCAGGATAATCATAAATTTATTTTCCACTTAGGCAACTTAATGAAACTATGTTTCAAGCTAAAAAAAAAAATCCTAAAAGTACAAAATATGAATATCGGATAACACTTGAAGAGATTTTTTTTTTGTGTACTTCAGTGTGCATGTGTGTTTCAGGGAAGAATGTCATTTTTAAGCAAGAAGGAAATTAAAAAAATATATAGATTCTAGTAAAAGCCTGTAATACCCGCACTCAGGAGGCTGAAGCAGAAGGAGCCCTAAGCTCAAGGCCAGCCTGTACTACATAGTAAAATCCTCTCTTAAAAAAAAAAAGCAAGCAAGAAAGAAAGAGTATATACCCAGGAAATTCTACAGGCCATATAAGCAAAAGAGATTTAAGGCACAATATACGTAAATAAAATATACAATAAATTGGGATAAAGAATTTACAGAATAATACATATGAAGTTAATGATCTCACTTGAAAACTGCAAAAAATGTTAAGAAAAGGCAAACAGTGTGCCATGAAAAAGGATTAAACAGAGGATTTAATATCCTTTATTAAAGTCAAATGGCCAATACATACCAAAAAAAAACTGCTGGCAATTAAATTATGCACATTACAGCAACACAAGAATGCTGTTTCTCACCCAGAAATAGGGAACCACTGAAATCAGTGATATCAGTACTACTCAGAAGAAGGAAGACCTGCCACTATCACAGTCTTTAAGAACCTACCCTGGTCACATCTGTGTACTCTCATTATAGACACATGGGAAAGAAACAATAAATGCATAGTTAAATAAAGTTATGTATGTGAACTCTTCTTAACACTGTCATGAAAAAAATCAAATTATGGCTGTAAATTATGTAAATAGCATAAGAATAGTTTACTTAAACTATGGGACATCTATCCACACTGTAGAATATTATGTAGCTACCAAAAATACTAAGGCAGTGAGACAGAGTCACATATACAGCCAAGGAAAATAAATTAAGATTAAGAAAAGAATTGGAAGAAAATCCATCACACTATATATCTCAAAGTAAAAATAGATGAAATGTGGAAAGATTATAAACCTATACAGAAATTTGTGTTTGAAATGTGAAAATGATCATGTATTCATCTTGTATTAAAGTACAAAAAGACAAAAAACTAAGCTCTGTATTTCCACTTTCCAACTGTAATTATTTTTCATCAATCATCCTGTTTGTACTCTGTTAAAATACAGTCCCAGATGATTTTCATCAGTATTCTTGTTATACATCTCTCCCCATTATATTTTGCTAAATGAAGTAGTAATGTGGTCTGTCTGGAAACTGCCATCCCAGCATCCAGTAGAAGGCCTGGAACATTTTGGGCTCTCAGATATCTGGTGAATGTTTTAGCTAAAGCAACCCTTTCATTTCCTAGGGTATAATTATCTGAATTTCTGTATAAAAATATCTGCTCATAAACCATGTTGAATATGTTACCTGCTCACCCTGCATGGCTACCAGGAACACAGGGAAATTCGGAAGTACGCTTTGTTTTCCCACACTCCCTTTCCACCTGTTTTGGCAAAAGCCTGCCAGGTTTAGTGTCATGATAACCCCCACTTTGTCCAAGTATTATAGCTGTTAAATCTTTTAAGGGCTTGTTCTCTGCTCTCCTGATCATACATAAAATAATCCTTTTAAAAATGCTCTAAGTTTATGGCAAATAGATGTTTGGCTAAAATAGCAGAAGGATAAGTGTCACATAGCTGGCATGTGTGACCAAATCAATGCTGTTTTAGCCATTTAAAATATGTTCTCTGCAATAAGGCAAGCTCAGTATTTTTTATATGCTAACTGCTGAGATTACTCAGTTAACATTTTTATCTCCAGGGCAAATTTGTTGAAAAATTAGATGTTACTCATTTCTCAACCCTGGTACTTCACATGCTTGCCATGAAATAGACCTTCAATAAAAACTTGGAACAAGTACTCAGAATAAATAGGTTCACAACCAATCATATCTGCACAGAATAGGGTATTCACTATCTACTGTGAGTCTATTCCCAGATTATGCACCATTATAGTCACCACTTGGTCGTAAACTCTAATAGCTAAATTTGGAGAGAAATACAGTAGTTCTAGAACTCTGCTGTCAAATACAATAGTCATTAACAACCTGTGACATTTTATATTTAAATTTAATAATTAAATAT